GCGTTTTATATATACCAAAATCAATAAAGTCATTAATATAGATTCAGGCAGTGAGTATCAGTGTAAGAAGAAAGTAACAAACTGGCTCCAAAAGCTCTCTTATAACGACACCGAAAACCTTATACATCCAGTAACATAAGCAACACACACACACACACACACACAGACACACACACACAGACACACACACACACACACAGAGAGAGAGAGAGAGAGAGAGAGAGGGGGAGAGAGAGGGGGGGGGGGGAGAGAAAGAGAGACGCACACACAAATACACATTCAACATGCACTCAGTGCAAATACATATATGTAGATACCCCACACATTCCGTATACAACGGGTTTACTAAATAGTTATCCTAATTATCCTTATCCATACTTAATATTTAAGTTCGCAAATATTTAGCTTATGTAAGTAGGTCTAGGTTTCTTATTGTAACCAGTACTGTCTTATTTATTTTAGCTGTGAAACTGGAAGGTAGCTGGTACTTATAGCACAGGATATCCTATTTTAAGTACCAGCAGAACACTAGAATTAAGATTTTTTGTACCTCTTTTGAGAATTCTACTACTATGTACCTACTTGTATATTATGCCAATAAAGAAATTTATAAAGAAATTTATTTATAATTTGTAGATTCGCTCTGCATTCTCTATCGTATTATCATGCAGAGTGCTCCGAGGAATTGTTCGAACCTTCCGCCATCGTTTCACGCTGCAAATTTTACATCCCCACCACTTGTGACCCGTCTGCTAATTTGCCCCCTATTCCATAAAAAAAACGAATCATTTTAATATTAAATATTAAAATTCGCCAAAATCGTAATAAATTGTACCTAATAAGCTAATAATTCATAATCATATTGTGGAATTGAGAATCATTTCAGTCGGTACAAAATCATTTTGTGCCAAGTCCAGGAAAAAATAAAAGAAAAAAGAAAAATCATTTATAAAATTATTTAATTAACTTTGGTTACAGAATTTAAAGTTCACATTAAATTCTTAACATGACTTGATCGGCCGGCGTCTGTTCCCATGTATTTTTGTATTTGTAACAAAAGTCACGGAACCGACACCACACCGGACCCACAACCTACTAATACAAATGATAAAACTACCCACAACTTGCAAATATTGCACAATCGGGCAACTGGTTTTGCAATAAAGTTACAATCAGTGTCAAAATATTACACTTGTATTTAACAAAAAATTATAAAAATATAATATTTTGATAATTTGCGAAGTGAGGGTAGACGCAAAAAAAAACGATAAAATGAAAAAAAAAAACATTAAAACTAAGGATATATAAGCGACTACGACTGGTGTGATAAAAATAAAGTTGAAATTGAGCCAATTTATCGTGTTGTATTCTCGGTGGAGGGCACTCTAAGGTCGGCCTTAGAGTGCCCTCCACCCGGAATTAGGAGGGAATGGAAAGGGGCTTTTTTCAAAATTACTCAACTTTGTTTTAATCACACCAGGGGGCACCACAGTTTGAGAATTGCGCAGTAGCATGCCATTCTGACTAGAACATTGCTCGATATTATATTCTGACTTTGAAAGAGATTCCGAATTAAACTCAGATCGTTTTAAATATGAGGATACAATTAATTATATTAAACTATTTTGTGAAAGAACTTTAACTGTGAAAACTGTTTTAAAATGTGTAGTTTTAATATTGAGACTTTGAACGAATAACGACAAAATTCCAAATAATTATTATATAGATTTTCATTTCAAAAAATAATTTACCGACTTCAAAGCTCCTAAGCTACGATAAATTGTATTAAACTGTATTCTTTAAACCTTTATTTCCACCATTACTAGTCGTATTTTTCTATAAAATTTAACTGGGACCAAACAGGAAATAAAAGAAAAAATAATTTTCCATATCTTTTCATAAATGACAGAGTTTTTAGGTAGCAAACATAAAACCTCCTTTCTAAGGAGAGGCCTATCTCCAGCAGTGGACTATTAAGGGCTGTTGATGATGATGAAACATAAAAGAAAATACAAACGAATTGAGACACTCTTTTTTTGAAGTCGGTTCAAAATCTGTATAAGTAGGAATCGTGTCATCATTTCTGCAAATACTTTTACCTTTTAGGCAGTTTGAAAATGCTACTCTGAAATAAAACTACTGGTTATGACGCACTGTTTCTTAATAGACCTACACTGCATTCTGCAGCAAGTCTCTAAAGTAAATACTTAATTAGTAATAAATCTTTGATATTTTTGACTATTCTTTAGTAACAGTTACGTATTACAACTGACCTGAGTTTTATTAGGAGGCGATTTTGTAACACTGGTATACGCGAGGCATAATAAGTTAACATTTAAAAAGCATCACCGACTTCAAAGCGCCTAAGTACGTCATGATGTTTTGTAATAAACAGTTTTCATTACACATTTGCTACCCTTAGGAGTGGTATTTCTTTTTCGAATTTGAATGGGACCAAATAGGAAGTATACCGTTCCAAATAAAATAAGAGTTTTCCAAATCGGTGCATTATAATGGAGTTTTGAGGTAACGTACTTAAAAAATAATTTAAGTCGTTTAAAAATTACATATTTACAAAACAAATAGATATTTTATAATACTATTTAGACGGAATTGGATAAACTACTTAATGAACTATAAATCAGTCAATTTGTTAATACTATTGTCTATTGAATATAACAATTTAGTACAGAAAAAAAGCTGTCAAAAAAAATGTATAACTACCGGCTGTACGCACGCTTCGCTGTGGCATATTGAAAGTTCATTTTTTTTATTTTTTTTTTGTCTCTATACTGTGCCGAATGGTTCAACAGTGTACTCAATCGCCTCCCGTCGGACTGGAACGCGTCAAACTGTGGAGTCGCTTTTGAGACTAAAAGATGATATTGATAGTATCGCAAAACTGCTTGTGTCAATTTAAAATTAATTTTACTCGTAGTACACAACAATAAGATTTAAATTTGAATACATAACGAGATTAATTATCTAATTTTTTAATTTTATACCCAATTCGATAATGTTCAATACAGCAAATGTTGTACTGTAACCTCTATATAAAAAAATACTTAGCCGGAAATCGAACCCGCGACTCCTGACTATCGAAATCGACACAAACCGTTAGCTACACTCTACATACGTTTTAAATATATTCTAACAAAACAACAAATTTCTATAAACTAATTTGGCGAACTTATTGCACTAAAATTAAAACAAACAATGGCCTCGCTATGACACTTCATTCCTTGTACATTATTGACACTCTAGATTACATAACTTTTAAACTGGACAAAACCTACGCGTCACAGGACGCCCGACAGAAGTGATAACTTAAACTAATCTAAGTTGAACTATTTAATATTGAAATTGTTTAAGTTGAGAAAAGCTTAGGTTATTACTTAAATTTTATGTAAAGCGTCTGTCCGAAATACGGATAGCGCTGTGGGTTAGAGTGAGAGAGGAGCCTGCGTACCGCTGCCGTATGCGTGAGAGAAAGGAAAGCCAGACAGACTGGAGACGTAACGCGTTACGTAACGACGCGGTTTACCCTCCAATAAGAAGTTATCACTTCAATATATATTTTATTGTGATATACGGATTTGCTAACGTGTGTATACACACTAGAGTCCTGAAACTAATCTAACGTCGAAATACAGATACACACGTATTATAAATTTTGATATTTATTTATTTTCTTCAGGTCTTCATACTTTCTTACATTGACCTCGAAGACTAGACTATACACATCACTACGTATTTATTTAATTATTTGAGACCTATTTTGAGCTTTTAAACAGACTTAAGAAGAATTTTAGATTATTACAATTTTTAAAGTTAAGCGACATTTCGAAAAAATGTCTGATTAAAAAATTGGCTTTCAGAGATATTTTTTTTTAAATATAACTTTCTTTCTTTATGATATAAAAGGCAAACGAGCATATGGGTCACATGATGGTAAGTGAGTACCGATGCCCATCGCCACCACTGCCTCTATTAACTTTCTTTAAAATATTTAATATAATAAGGCACTATAATTATATCAGTGAGTGTCAATATTGTTTGTGTAAAAAAGGACAAAATTAGTTCCTTTAATATTTTTAAAAGACGGTTTAGACTCATTAACACAAGACTAGGTAACGCATAGTCAAGATACGTTTCTAAACGCATGTAAAAAAAAAGTATTTTTTCTTTTTGGTTTAAACAAAAGGAAAATACTTATAGTTTTTAAATATATAACACTCCCATCCGATAGTTTAATTATATAACATATAAAAAAACAATTGAAACGATTAATAATTTTATAATTTGGTTTTAAATATCGTTATCGGCGTTTTTACAAATCAGAATAATAATTCTTAATTTAAAAAAAATGTATTACGTAACGGAGTTATTTTCAAAATTTCGGGTAACTTTGGATTTAGTATTGAAAACAGAATATTCGTTCGTTATTTAAAATAGCTATTTTGGTTTTTATTGTTAATTCGATACTTTAATGCGTATAAAGATATAATAACGTAACGTATTTATAACGGAAAACACGTTATAATAACAAAAACTCCGTTACAACAATTTCGTTATGAATTCAAGCTAGTTATTTTAATAGTCACCTTTCATATACCAAGTTACCCGAGGCAAATGACAATCGTTTAGAAATTCGTATATTGTAAATAAGGTAAAAAAATCTGTTTCTTCTATTATTCAATAAATTTAGATTCAAAACAACAATTTTTTTTTAAATTAATACTCAAAATGTCTGTTAATTGACAGGTTTTAATGAATTTATCACAATCACAAATGTTAATATAATAATCTTCGAATTAACAAATTCACCACCTTTAAACATATCACTAAATTTGTTACTTTATATTTAAATAAACAGTTTCGAATACCGGCTATATTGAATAACGTAATAACACAAGTCGTTTTGATTGAAATTTAAAACTATCATAAACAGAAAATAAAAGAAACAGATCTACCAAGGTCACGTCGGATCTACCGCAGACCTACCCTGGGGGCCAGCCCATCTGGCGACCTCCGAGCACGTGCAAGTGTAGATGGTAGACCGACTGCGCGCCGTCCCGTCCATTGTTGATGACGAGGCGGAAACCAGAGGGGGCGCGGGACGATCCCAGCGAACGGGCCACCAGCATCAGGTGTCCGAGGAGCTGAAAGCAAACAGAGTTAACAAGTAAATAAGAGTTTAAATATACACCTATATCTTTTATATAGCTTTTAGAACGTCTTGTAGTGCCCTGGCTTCTGCCAGGTGGAGTCAATTTCATGATAGACAATTTGAATTTACGTTGGGGAAATCGACAACTGACGCTGTTATATCGGTTAGAAAGTTTGACACAGAGTCCAAATTTCAATACGTGTTGGCTATTTTCTTAAATATATCTGACGCCTACGACACCGCCTGTTGGCCCAGGATGTTGCTGAAATTAAAATCACGGGGGTGCTTTATTAATATTGATTCCCTTATCTCTTCGTACTTTTCACAAGGTAAAACTAAACTAAGACTTGATCATCATTCTGTGTCCAAGGCGCTTACAATAGGATATCCTCAGGGATCAGTGCTAGGTCCATACTTAAGGAATATCGGCTTCGACGATTTTCTTGCAATACTAATACCATCCGGATGTACTCTGAACGCGTATGCTGATGACGGCTTATTACTGATGGAATCTTATACTTGGGCAGGGCTTGAGAGATTAGCCAATAGATGTTGAACTTGATATCTCATTGGGGTGAACGTAATCGCTTAACTTTTGCACCCAACAAAACCTTCCAGCTACTTTTAAAAGGTAACCTCATATCACAGCCGAGCATTAAATTAGACAATGTCAGTGTAAAAAATAAAATATCTTGGAAACTGCAACGAATTTAATCAGAAGAAAATTGGAGGAGTTGGAAATACAGTAAATCCATTTCCGTCCTTAGCAAAGGAACTTTTGAACAGGAAAGCACCACGACCACAAAATATTATGGGTCCTAAGTGAGCTATATTTGATTTCTATAATATGTATGGTACAATCGACTAAACGGACGGACTTCGATGACACAAGATCCCCATAGTATATCCCTACCCCCCCCCCCCGTATAACCCCTGCATAACCCTCGCCAGAACAGGGGGATCTCCCATGGTTACACTACTTTATAATGCCATTCATTATTCTAGCTGTTATTCAACTCAAATGGATGGGTCAGCAATAATCTGCAGCGCTATCTAATTGCAGTTCTGTACAATATTGACTCCAACTCGAGTGGTCACTCGAATTGGAGGCAATATTGCAGACTTTCACTCCCTGGGAGTAGCAGAATACAGTTGCGACTTACTGAAACAAGCGGCATTCAGTTCCGACTCACTGGATTTTTTTTTTTTTTTTTTTTATTATTTAAAAAGACAACTCCCGCATTAGGAAAATATCCTGTGTCGCGGGGGACTTTACAAACATACATGAAACGGACACAAATAACACCCAGACTTGGAACAACAATTTGTGGATCACACAAAGTGTCGTCCCATGTGGGGTTTGAACCCACAACACTCGGCGTAGTAGGAAGCGGCGTGGCGACCGCTTAAACCACTACGCCATCCGTGCAGTCAATTACTCACTACTGACTCTGGCACGCTCCACAACAGATCAAAGACAGCTGGCTCATTAATATATCAACCTCCGGTCTTGGAGGGGAGTGATGTGGCTACTTTCACATACAGTGAAACAAAAACGTACTACAGCGCTATCTAACAGAGACACACCGAACTACGGAGTAAATGGTAATCCTGTATCGTGATATGAATAATTCTCACGCCGATTACCATTTATACAACTTCCCAACATTAACTGTTGGATCGCGGTCCATCAGGCATGATTACCTCGCCTGGATGATGGAGGGTTTCTCCACAAGTAGCTACCACCGCCCATGGACTGAAGAGGAGGGAAATGGGGGGCTTGGAGTTCAGTATCCGCACTTACTCGGTACAAATCAACTGTAAGGTCATGGCATCACTCCGATCAAGCTGGCCCATTTGTTCGAAGCATAGATGTCGCTAGTCGCTAATCTTTGAAATTAATAACAATTTAAGTTGATTGCACAACATAATACGTACGTGTGTACACAGTGCGATGCGTAAATGAACACATTCCTGTGTTATCAGCGCAATCAATGTAGACATTATCTAGAGGAATTTTTACACAATTAGTCACACGTACAACACATTTCAACAATTAATTAGATGCTTAAACGATATCTGAATATTTGTTATAGCCGACAAGAGATAGCAGCCCTGGAAATATATACTTAAAGTTTACAAACCGGCGAATTTAATGTTCATAATTTTCACATACCACATGACACTAGTCACTCTCACAATTACGAGTAAGACGATTTTAACGACACCTCCATACGCCAAAATTTACAGAGTGTGGCAAAGAAGTATATGTTACTTTAAAAGCCCAAAATACGATAAATCCTATGAGTTACTGGTAAAAACCTAAGATTTACCAACAAGTTATGGTAAAAGTCCGAATTTCAAGCATTTACCACCATCCAGTTGTAACAACTCTTAAGATTTACTTCAAATACACGATAAATGTGGATAAACAGACATGTTTCACCAACAATAAGGGATCTGGCGATTGTCAATCGCCAGATCCCTTATTGTTGCCGATGCCGCGGACCGCTCGCTTTGCTCGCTCGCCTACGCGCTGTAATGGTCACTGTTATAACCTAACTTAAACAAATAATAAGGAGTGTCACCACCCCTATTCATCCCGTGGGTGTCGTAAGAGCCGACTAAGGGATCAAACTGCGCAGGACAACAGCACTGCAAAGAGAAGGAAAACTTGAAACAAACCCTTTTTTTTTTTTTTTTTAACGTGTGGAAATCCCCTCGGACCGTCACCCCTCCGGGGTTTGCGGCGGGGTGGTGTGTCGGACTCGGACCGACTAAAACCACACGGTGTGCCACTCTGCGCCTGTAACAGGAGGGATCCGGGAACAGCTGTTGTTAAGACATCCGGACCCCTCCTAGCGCCAGCCCGCTCCTGGTGCGGGCTCCGTCTCGATGTTGTTCCTCTCTTTGGGCGGCGTCCGGCACACGCGGACGCCGCCCCCTCGCGGCTGGCCAAACTAATGCGGGTGGAGGGGAAACCCACCCCGTCCACCCGCGGCCACACTCAGGGCGGCATGAGGCTGTGATATGCGGGCCTCCGCCGCCCGGTTCGCCGGCGGCGGATCGGGTCCGAGTGGAGGTCGTCCTCCCGGGCCCTCTCCGCCGCCTCCTTCCGCGAGATTACTACCTCGCAGAAGGTTGCGACCGCGGTAAAACAACTGTCGCTACCGGCCATGGAGCGTACTACGGCCGGTAGCCAGAGATCCACTCCGATGACTGCAGTGAGGGCCCGGCGCTGCGCCGCCCATGCAGGGCAGACCGCCAGCGTGTGCTGGGCCGAGTCCTCACTGCAGTCGCAGTGGTGGCAGGCGGGACTCAGTTCCCTCCTAGCGACCGTGTGCAGGTACTTTCCGAAGCAACCGTGCCCGGAAAGCACCTGCGTCAGCCGGAAGGAAAGGGTCCCGTGCTGCCGCCCTGCCCACTCGGCGATGACCGGCTGGAGAGCCTCCACGGCGGCGAAGCCAGCGCGTGGAGTCTCCAGCCGGAACGACCAACGAGCCATCGTGGCTCGGCGAGCGGCTTCGCGCCACTCGCGCACATCCTCGGGCGGAGGGCGAAATCCGCTCTCCGCCCGGTAGTCAGCCACTCGCCGATAAACTTCGGCGAGCACTTCCGCCTCCAAATCCCACGGGGGAGTTCCGGCCAACGCGCACGCCACCTCCGTCAAAACGGTGCGGTAACCGCGTATGGCTCTGACCGCCATTACCCTCTGAGGGCGCCAGAGGCGTACCCTATTCTGGGCGGTCAGAGCCGCCGCCCACACCGGTACACCGTACAGTGCCATTGACCGGACAACCCCCGTGTACAGCCGTCTTGTCGCGACGCTGGGTCCACCCATATTGGGCAAAAGTCGCCCTAGGGCAGACGCAGCGCCGACCAGCTTTGGAGCAAGCTGTCGGAAGTGCTCGTCGAAGAGCCACCTCCCGTCGAGGATCAGGCCCAGATATTTCATCTGGGCCCGAACCGGTACGAGGACCGAGTTGACCACTATTGAGGCGCCAGGGGGTGGACCACGACGGGGCCCATGAAATAACAGGGCCTCCGTCTTATCTAGGGCCACCCGTAAGCCCAGCGCCTCAATGCGCCCGACCACCAGGGAGACTCCCCCTGTGGCCAGGCGCGCCGCCTCTTGGAAGTTTGCCCAGCGGGCTGTCACCAGTGTATCGTCTGCGTAACAGATTACACCCAGCCCGGGGGGGAAATCGGCGCGAAGGGCCCAGTCGTACCCTATGTTCCACAAGAGGGGTCCAAGAACAGACCCCTGTGGAACACCGCACGACATGGGCCGACACCTCAAATTACCTTCTCGGTCCTCGTACACGACGGTACGCTCCTCTAAATAGTCTGCCACTAGCCGCCTCAGGTACTTTGGCACCCCATGATAGTGGAGTGCTTCCCTGATGCAGCTGAATGGCAGACTATTGAATGCGTTGGCGATGTCCAATGACACCGCGAACAGCACGCCGCCACAGCTCACGGCCTCTTCGGTCACGGCCCTCAGGCGCAACACGGCGTCGACTGTCGAACGCCCCGCCCGAAAACCAAATTGGGCGTCCGACAGATCGGGGCCCACCTCGCAGAGGTGCCGGACGATGCGGGCAAAAAGAACCCTCTCAAACAATTTGCCCGCCTCGTCCAGCAGCACGATGGGCCTATAGGCCGCGACCGAATCGGCTGGCCGTCCCGGCTTCCTCAATAGGACCAGCTTCCCGCTTTTCCAGCACTCAGGGAAGCGTCCCGACGCCAAGCTAGCGTCGAACACCTCCCCGAGGCGGTCTGCCATGTGGTTGAGGGCCAGGGCCAGCACTCGGGCCGGTACCCCGTCTGGCCCAGGAGCGGTGTTCTTGGAACGGATCCGTAGAACAGCCGCCCCTACCTCCGAATCCCGGACGGGCGGAACATTATCCTCCCCGTGCTCCCCGTCGTCTCCGGCCAGGGAGGCCATCGACGGGGGAGTGTGTTCCGCCCGTTGTGGGAAAAGGCCCTCAA